GGAAAAATGCATATTTATTTTATATATGTTGTTCCATATATTTTCCGTTCTCCTGCTTGCATGGCCAAATACGGCAAAGATAGTTTTATTCTGCCTTCAGAATGGTAGCAGTTGGAATACCTTCGCACTGCGCCGCAATACTCTGTTTACGCTCCTTGATCGTTCTGGGTTTTGGGGAATAAACTGTTCGCTTTAGGTATCCCCACAGAAAGAAATCCTAGGGGGACAAATCAAGTGACCTTGGAGGCGATCCCTTTGATCCTCCTCGACCAATCCATCTGCAGTCAAATTCCGAGTCGGCGAGTTTGACGATGGTTGCTGATGCATCAGCTGTAGAATAACAAAGTTACAGTAGAAAACCTAACTGGGATTTATTTATTGAAATGACTCAGAGACCTCCTACAGGTATTGTACTTTCATCTCGTCCATGTTCCATTTGCCCTTCTTCATGTTTGAGCACTTGAGGCAGTCGCTTTAGCGTAGAGTCCACCAAGTTAACTGCCAAACAGAATTTGCCCCGCACCCTAGCCTAGCCATTGACGACCAATGTCATAACAACTGACTTATCCCTGTTTGGATTTCCATTAAATTAAAATCCCTGTTGCTGCGCGGTATTTGGATGAATTTATTATTGAACTTGACCCTGTTACTTTTCTATTGAAAAGGTAGGGCCCGACAATCCTGCCGTGCACAATACCAGCCCATTCTATTTCTCCTGTTCGCCGAGCTTGGCAATTTGTTTGCAAACGTTTCATTTTCAGCCGAGGTGACATCATCAGTGCTGTCCGGAGAATCCGGAACAAGAATTACCCTACCGTACATCAAGGACGTTTCGGAAATAAGGGCAAGACTGTTCAGATGACATAGACTCCAAGTCGCCCACAGACCTACCGCCTGTCTGAGGAGACTTCTGTCAAAACCAAAGGAGAAAACAATGGAGAAGGACAAGAGCAATGTTATCTACAAAATAAATAGCAAGAACTGCTCAAAACACTATATCGGACAAACTGGGAGAAAACTGTCCACAAGGATCCGTGAAGACCAAGCGGCAGTCAGGAGACATGACCCACTATCTTTGATTTCCCTCCACGAAGATCAAGAAGGACATCAGTTTGAATTCGCTTCAG